AGACAGAGAAAGACAGATGGATGGACACACACACAAAGATGGAGAGAGAGACAGAAACAGACAGACACACACAGAGAGAGACAGTGCAGAGAAAGACAGACACAGAGAGAAAGACAGAGAGACATGAGAGACACACAGAGAGAGAGACATAGGGAGAAAGACATACACACAGAGACACACAGAGAGATACACACACACACACAGAGGCAGAGGCAGAGAGGCAGACAGACAGACAGAGACAGATACATGCACACGCACAGAGAGAGAGAAATAGAGACAGAGAGACAGAAACACAGACATACACACAGAGACAGAGAGACAGAGATACACAGAGAGAGAGAGAGAGAGAAAGAAATAGAGACAGAAGCACAGAGACACACAGAGAGACAGAGACAGACAGATATACACACAGAGAGAGAGAGAGACACTAGAGAGAGAGAGAGAGAGAGACAGAGAGACAGAGACAGAGACAGAGATAGAGAGACAACTAGTGGTGGAAAGTTAACCATGTCTGAACAATTTTGTCAGTGGTTTCACATGGAACCCCATCCAGTCAAACCTAGCTTGAAAAACCTTGCTTGGTCTAGATGGCTAGGTTTTGGTTGAGAGTAGGGGTCCCCAACCCCTATTCTGTGGAACCGCACCAGTCCACCACATGGCAGAAACTGGGCCACGGTTACAAGTGATGCAGGCAGCAGATGAAACCACAGCCCCTCCAGTCCACGGGGAAAAAAACCTCCATGGAACCTGTCCCTGGTGGCCAAATGTTTGGGGCCTCTGGTCTAGATATCTAGATGTCCAAGAGATGTTTCAATGTCACTTGGTAACATTTGCTAAGATTCCAATAACTCTCTAATAGAAAAAAAAACCCTCTCTCTCTTTAGAGAGCAGCATATAATTTTGTCTACTCAGGAATGTAGCTTAAGAGAAGAGAGATAGAAGGGACCTTGGAGGTCTTCTAGTCCAGCCCCCTGCTCAAGCAGGAGAACCTATGCCATTTCAGATAAGTGACTGTCTAAACTCTTCTTTAAAACCTCCAGTGATGGAGCCCCCACGATTTCCACTGTTCCACTGGTTAATTGTCCTCACTGTTAGGAAGTTTCTCCTTAGTTGTAAGTTGCTTCTCTCCTTGTTTAAGTTTCCATCCATGGCTTCTTGTCCTGCCCTCAGGTGCTTTGAAAAATAGCGTGACTTCCTCTTCTTTGAGGCAGCCCCTCAAATACTGGAATACTACTATCATGTCTCTCTAATACTTCTTATCTTTAGACTAGCCAAACCCAAATCCTGCAGCCATTCTTCGTATGTTTTAGTTTCCAGGCCTTTGATCATCTTAGCTGCTCTTCTCTGAACTTTTTCCAAAGTCTCAACATCTTTTTTTGTACTATGGTGACCCAAATTGATTGCGGTATTCCAGGTATGGCCTTACTTGGGTTTTATAAAGTGGTATTAATAGGTCACATGATCCTGATTCTATGCCTCTGTTTATACAACCCAGGATCGTGTTAGCTTTTTTGGCTGCACACTGCTGGCTCATATTCAAGTGTCACATGCCAGCTTTTTGCATCTGGAATTGTAGGAGTCCAAACTCAATTGCATGTTTTGCGTATTGTTTTAAGCCCTGGTGTGGTCATTTGATTCCTGAGCCATGAACACATCTGCATGGCAGCATAAACTTTTAACTCCTAAGAATTGCTCTCTAGCAAACCGCAGCTGTGAGTGTGTTAAGCCAACTAAACTAAGGGTGGAGGAA